AAAGAGCCCCCCAGTTGGAGGGGTTTTGCAGCTTGGATGCATCCAGTTGCTGTTGCCCAGCTCTCATATCATTGCAGGAATCAGGCTGCCAGCAGCACTGGCAGCACTTCATCCACAAAAGCCTCCTCAGACCCCGTCTTTCAAGGCTGGTGACGATATCAGAGCCAGGCTGCCACCCTGTCCCACCAAGGATGGTGGGTGCTGCCTGGAACCAGGGTCTGAGCAATTAAAATCAGATGTGTGTTTGTACAGGGTGATCTTGGAGCACTGTGTCCAGTTCTGGGCTCCCTGGTTCAAGAAAGATGAGGAACTCCTGGAGAGATTCCAGAGGAGGGCAACAAGGATGATGAGGGGACTGGAGCATCTCCCCTACGAGGAAGGGCTGAGGGAGCTGGGCTTGTTCAGCCTGGAGAAGAGAAGGCTGAGAGGGGATCTCATCAACACCTACAAATATCTCAAGGGTGGGGGTCAGTGGGGGGCACCAGGACGGAGCCAGACTCTTCCCAGTGGTGCCCAGCACCAGGACAAGGGCCATGGGCACAAACTGAAGCAGAAGAGGTTCCAGTTGAGCGGGAGGAAGAACTTGTTGACTGTGAGGGTGCCTGAGCCCTGGCCCAGGCTGCCCAGGGGGGCTGTGGAGATCTTCAACCCCCGCCTGGCCGCTGTCCTGTGCCCCCTGCTCTGGGTGAGCCTGCTTGAGCAGAGGGGTGGGACGGGGTGAGCTCCGGAGGGCCCTGCCAACCCCTGCCATGCTGGGATTCTGGGATTCTGTGATCTTAATCCCGTGCAATTAGCTTGTTTAGAAATGAGTCAAGTCTTTGTGCTGAAGGGAATCAGCTGGGCTTTAGCCTGCAGAGGTTACTGCTCAGGGTTGGTTTTCTTGAAGGAAATACTCTGCATTTTGGCAATTACTTCAGAAAAGTGACCCTCTGAAGTCAATCTATGGCAGCTTCCTCCATATTTCCTGAATATTATCCCTTTAATTTATTGGAAGTTCTCTGGTTTATTAAGGTCAGGGCAGGGCAGGCACAGCCAGACAAGCGTGGGCAGGGTTTTATTCTGCACCATTTGCTCGCTAGCCTAATGCTAAATTAGAGGAGCAAGTCGGGGGTTTATTCCCCCGCTGACCTTGTTGCACTGTCATTTAGAAAACCCGTGTGATGGAAGCAATTGCTTTATGGCGCTCAGATGGGATTTTCACACCAGCACTCTGCTCTTTGCCTCTGAAAAATGAATAAAAACGAGCTCCCTGCTCCCGGGTGACGAGAGAAGGAAATATCTCATCTCTGCTCCAGCCGCAGGTTTGGCTCAGGGCTGGCATTGGGTTTGCCGCCGTCAGGGCTGTGGGAGCTGTGCTAATAAATTCATTATTTCTGAGAATTTATCCCCTAAAGCCCAGTCCTGAAAAAAATGAAGTGCCTGTCGTTTTTGTCCGGAGAGCAACCTTGCTGAAATCACGGGGATTTCTAATAGAAATCTCTTCTCAGAGCCAAAACCTGGACGGTAGCTGGTGCGTGATGGTTGGATGGGGATGATTTGGCTGAAGTTGAAAATCTTCGGTGCTAGCTGATGTATGGGTGACTAGAGAGACAATTTGACCTCCATTTTGTGATTCTCGCGCTTATTTTGTTTCTTCTTCCTGTCACCACGCGGTCTTTCTTCCCTCTCTTGTTTTACTATTCTTTTCCACGCGATAGTTCATGAAAACAGCATTTGGAGATTTTCCAGCCTGAATCGCCTTGGTACTTTATACCTCCCGCTGGTTAAAAGGAGATACAGAATGAAACACGTGTGATGGAGCAATGCTGTAGGATGGTCTGGTCCCCGTACCACGTTCACAGTGAGCCCTTTCTATACCCCATCCAAGTACAAGAGGATGGCCCAGCTCCTGAAGGAGAGGAGTCCCGCTTTGCTGGTCTCAGAGGGCTGGAACTGATGGGATTGTGAGGGGAAATCTTTGAGTTGTACCTCCTTGGTTTTTCTGATTGCATCTGGCATCTCCACACACGGCATGGGGAGCAAGAGCCCCCCGGGCAGAAAGGCAGGAGATGGGGATGTAGAAGATGGGCAGTTCCAATCCACCAGCAGAAATGACGCAAAGCAGATTCCTGTGATATTGTAGAAGAGAAAAAGCAACCTGTGTGTTAATTCAGTCTTATGCTCACAGCTTTTCACCCCTTGTAAAAAATAAGTCAGTTTATGGGCAAGGGGCTAAGCTTTGTGCTGGAAATGGCTGTTGGTAAGGAGTGGATTGGACCTCATCTGCTTGCTGGTCCATCTGCATGTCAAGGGAAGCTTTTTCAGATAGTCCCCTTCCCAGAGCTGGTACTTTGGTGCTGTCCCTGGGACAGGGCAGCCCCAAGCCTGCCCAGCATTGATGGCTATGGGCTCCCTGTTCGGGGTGGGATGAAGGTCACTGATGGCTGTGGGTCCCCTGTTCAGGATGGGATGAAGGTCACTGATGGCTATGGGCTCCCTTGTTCGGGGTGGGATGAAGGTCACTGATGGCTATGGGTCCCCTGTTCAAGGTGGGATGAAGGTTGCTGATGGCTATGGGTTCCCTCTTTGGAATGGGGTGAAGGAAAGCATCGGGATGCCAGCAGGGATTGGATCAAGCAAAGACCACACATGATCTCAGATTTTTCCCTGTGATATTTCAGTCCTGTTCCTCCCACATCCCTTGTAAGACAGAGTCCTCCCTCCGATGGAGGTGTTTGAATACAACAAGCAGGTTGAAAACTGGGCCTGGAGATTAGGGCTGTTGTGCTTTTTTATTTGGCTCATCTGCAGATCTTCATCCACTTTCTGTTAGAAGGTGCTTTGCACCATTGGTGTTGGGTCTGCCCAAACAAAGCACTTGGGGTTGGAGTGAATTGCGTTAACACTGTTGGCTCATTGCTGGTGTTAAAGCATTTTGCAAACTGGCCTTGTACTTTCACATGGGCCACCTATGTGGGATGGCTGCAAACTCAACCTGGGACCAGGAACACTTCACCTGGGAGGAAGGCAATGTCTCCTGTTGGGAAGTGTCCCTTTGCCCATTAGCTGGAGACAACAGGGATGGCTTCCCATGGCACTGACAGATGGGGAAAATGCAGCTCCTGCTCCAAACCTGGCCTGAGCCTGGAGGAGACTCCAGGTGAGAAAGACACTGCCTGGTTAGGCTGTCATTGGGGGTCGGGCTCTGCTCCCAGGGAAGGGGCGATGGGACGAGGGAAAACGGCCTCAAGTTGTGCCAGGGCAGGGTGAGGTTGGCCATGGGGAACAATTCCTTCCCCTTGGGGCTGTCAGGGGCTGGAAGGGGCTGCCCAGGGAAGGGGTCGAGTCCCCAGCCCTGGGGGGATTTAACAGCCGGGCAGAGGCGGTGCTGAGGGCCAGGGTTTGGGGGTGGGATGGCAGGGGTAGGGGAACAGTTGGGCTGGGGGAGCTTCAAGGGCTTTGCCAACCCAACCATTTCTGTGATTCTATGATTCAGCAAAGTGCTTGAGGCTGTTCCTGGAACAGAATAAGACTGAAGAACGCCTTTAAGGGTTCATCATTTTCTTAAGGGCTTGGCAGAGGCTTGGCAGAGGCAAGCCTTAAATTACTAAACTGACCTGGAGCAGGAAGATGTTCAGAAATGCTGTTTAGTCACTTATTTCAGCTTAAATGATGCAGAATGAAGCATGGTTATGGAGAAGGAAATGCATTTTGTCATTTTTTTCTGTTGCTTCATTGCACATGGAGATAACTGAGACCAAATAAGGCTTGCAGGAATTTTTGCCATTTCCTTTATTGGGAGAAAAAAAACGAGGACGGGTTAGAGCCCATCCCATGAGATGCTTCACATTCTCCATTTCTGTGGAAGCCACTGGGTTTAAATCTTTCTGGGGCAAGGTGTGATGAGCAGGGAGCCCTTTGCAAAGCCCTGGGAACTCTGCCTCAAGGACAGGAAGAGCTTTTCAATCCACAGCCAGCAACAACAGGATGAAGCTGTGTACAGGATAAATACGCAGGTGGAGCACTGGGGATGTTTCCAAGCGATGAGGTCAATTACCCAAGAAGGGAGCAGGTTCCACTCGCTGGAGTGATTCAAAAGTAGGAAAGTCAAAGTGCGATGGGGAGTGATCTTTGCTCGTGCACAGATGCGCTGGTTGACATTGTATTGCCCCCTGCTCCTTGCGCTCACAGAGCGCTCCTCCTGCAGGCGTTGGACCTGCTCACAGTAATCGAGAAAGTAGGATTTAGCTCGCCTGAAGTCATTTCCATTGCTAATTTCTGGGCTTCTGTCGAAAACACCTGGGAGGATGTTCAGCTTCTGTTGCACATACTGGGAATTAATCCATTAAAGGTGATCTTCAAAGCAATTAAAACACCGGGCTTGTGACTTGGTTGTTTATCTATGGTGCCTAAAGATAGTTCCAAGGGTTTTTTTTTTCTTTTTTTAATTATTATTATTTTAAAGTTTCCACTTGCTTTTAGTATCTGCCCAGCTTCCTTCTCTGGAGCTGTCAGGAAGATCGAATTGGTAATGAGACTGTGATTGCAGAGGACGGCAACCTTGCTGCCTCCCACTATGAACTGGGCAACCTGCTCGCTGTTGTAGCTTTATAGCTCTGATGTGGGGGGGGAGAGGGGGCATAGTGTGACTGAAAAGGCCGAAGAATTCTCTGGGAAAGGAACCTTTCTGGTGGAAGATTCCCACTTACTCCCACAAAAGGCTGGATTAGCTCTTGGGAGATCTTTCAGCAAGCAAGTGGAGGTTTCATATTTGCAATATGTCTGAGATACTCCCTTACGTAAACTAGGCAGGAATAGGCTTCAAAAAGCAAGACCTCTATTGATACTCAAAGAACAAAACCACCGCCCTTCTTTGGGGTTCACCTTGGTCTAGCGCAGAGAAACCATCGCAGCTCATCCCCTCGCCAGTTGACTGCTAGGCTCCCAGCTCTCCAGAACTTCAGGGTCCTTGAACTTGCCTTGCATGCTTGGACCCTCCCTAGTGCCCCGAGTTTGCGGGTCCCCAATGTCTTTAGCTGCTTGCCTAACCCCAAGAGCAGAGTGCTGAGCTGGAGAGGCGATACTGCCGTCAACGAGAGCTTTGCCTTTGCGTATGGAGGACCCTCTCGCATCCTCGGAGGCGTCTTTGCTCTTCACATAACTTTTTAGGACGGCTAAAACAAATACACAGCTTGGGACAACTCCCAGACAAGCACCAGATGGTTTTCCCTCTGCAGTCCCCCAGTGCCTCTGTGCTGGAGCAGATACAAAGATTGTCCCAATTGTTTGTGAGCTGCTAAGAATTAACACCATTAATTTATGGCAGGCCCTTGCATTAATCCTCCCTGTTAATTCCTTATCTCTGCTTCAGCATATTGACTTTCAGAGGCCTCATCTGGGAAACTCATCATCTGTTTGTGTGGAAGCTGCCCTCACGCATGCCCTTTGCTTGCGTGCTGCAAAGCTGGGTGAAGAGCATGGGGAAGGCGATGGTTCGGGGGGGAGGGGAGGCAAAGGCATGAGCAGAAAGCGGGTTTGGGATGTGCATGAAGGGGAAATCGCTCCAGTCTGGGGAACTGGAGCCTCCCAGCTGGTGGGTGTCAGCACCAGGCATCCCAATTACCGCGGCGCTGGGAGTGGGGCAGCTGTCTTTGCTGAACAGGCGGAAGATATCTTGTTCTTCAAGCAGTAAGGGTTCAGCCACAGGGGAATTTTCTGGAGTGTTTCTTTGCCTGTAATCAAAAAATACATTTTTATCACTGAAACAAAAAGGACATTGAAGTTGCAACTGCGGCAAACAAATAAATTAACTTTTAATGACCTCCCAGCTACTTCTGTATTTGTTTCAGCAGGCGCCCTGCCAGAAAGCTCCAGGGAAAGGAACCGAGGCCGTGCCTGCAGCAGCCCCTGTAATCCCTCAGCGCTGCAGCCCTCAGCCCACGGGTGGTGGGGGCAGGACAGGCAGGTTTCCATGGTGCTCTCAGCCATCCCAGTGCAGTCGACCCATGGAAGGCAAGAGGTACAGACAGTATGTACAGAGGTGCAGCTGGGGCTGAAAAACTATAGCAGAGCCACTTGCCTTTCTCTGAAGGCACCCTGAGACCCTGGCAGCTCTGAAGAAGAGCTCAGCAGGAGGTATCGGTGCAGAAGTCAGGTTTGTCACAGAATCCCAGAAAATCCCAGACTGGCAGGGGTTGGCAGGGCCCTCCAGAGCTCACCCAGTGCCACCCCCCTGCCCAAGCAGGCTCACCCAGAGCAGGGGGCACAGGACAGCGGCCAGGCGGGGGTTGAAGATCTCCAGAGAAGGAGACT